TTACGAAAAGCGCCCGAAATTTTAGCAGAAGAAACCAAAGCCTACTTTTTTCCAGGTTGCAGCTCTACGGCCCCAAAAGACATTTTAGGCAACCTACAAAACAGGGGAACACAGGCAGGCTTCGGGTTCTTCAGGTAGGAGATGTGTTCCTCTGGAGGCTGAGCGACGCGAGACCACGGAGCACTACCTGCAGCACCGGGGCGGATTAGCCTTTATGGTTAGGGTTTAGGGTATAGGGTTTAGGGTAAAAGGTTTAAGGTTTAAGGTTAGGGTTTAGGGGTTAGGGCCTAGGGTCTAAGGTTTAGGGTTAGGGGTTTTCGCTGTTTGGGGTTGGAGGGCTTGGCAGAGGTGTCTGCCGCGCGACGCAGTTTAACTCTAAATTTCCCGAAGCCCTCAGCCACCCGTACACTGCCCCCTAAACCCCCTAAACTGCCCCGTAGATCTGTACGAAGCTTAGTGAATTTAATTTTCCTAAAACCCATCAATATCCTTAAGCCCCTTAAATCCATGCCCGATTTGCAGCCAGTTGCCCAGCTCCTATCCGACCACCCGACTGGGCATTTTGAGGCCCCCAAACCCCCCAAGGCATCAGCAGGCGTCCGTCGACCGCGTGAAGATCGTTGTGAGGCAGAGCCTCCATATGGTTGGAGTTTAGGGTTTAGGGTTTAGGGTTTAGGGTTTAGGGTTTAGGGTTTAGGGTTTAGGGTTTAGGGCCTTAAGCATCGGCTATAAGTCCCCCAGACAAGATTGCAGGCAGCCATAGCCTGCTTGACTTCCCACAAACCGCCAAGTGCTGCTGATGAGGGGTTATGATGATGGTAACCCTAAACCCTAAACCCTAAACCCTAAACCCTAAACCCTAAACCCTGAACCCTAAACCCTAACCCTAAACCCCAAGCCCTAAACCCCAAGCCCTAAACCCTAAAACTTTATTTCTTTCCCTTGAAGTTTCAGATGTAGCTGGTTCAACAACAATGCTGCCCATCCCACATATTCGGATTTAGGGTTGAGGGTGGACGATTCAGTCCCCCCGAAAGGGAGTTGAGGGTTTGGGCCCCCGGATGTGCAGGGCTTTCGGCCTTTGGAATGCTTCGCGCTGAGGGCGCCAAAAGCTTGCTGTCTAGGGGTTCTGGGGCCGAGTGGGTAGTTCTCTTCTATATTCCTGAAGCGCAAGAGGGCGGCCTTTGACACGAAAAACCTACGGTAAACCCTGCCTCAAACATGCAACCCCAACCCAACCCCACAGTCTCCGACCCTCTCAACCTTAGCTCCAAACCCGAAGCCCTCAAGAGCCTTAAATCGGTTCGGAAGGCTTCGAGACCTTCTCATGGAGGTGGGCAGAAGGTTTGGGTTTAGGGTGTAGGCGTTGAAGGGTTTAGGCTCGACTTCCAACCCCAAGCCCTGAGCCCTAAACCCTAAGCCTTAAACCCTAAACCTAGATTGGGTCTAGGGTTTAGGACGCAGGGGCTTGTTCCGGTTGAGGGGAAAAGGCTAAAGAGGCTTGAGGGTAGGTCAAGTTCTGGTGAATGCCTTTGAGAAACTGAACCACTACTAAACCCTTGACGCCTAAAGCCCTCAAACAGCTCCAGCAACGCCAAAGCCCCAGAAACCCGAGGCCCCTAAATCCTTGAAGAATCTCCCCCTAAAACGCCCTAACTCGCAAAAGCACCCCTAGCTCCCCAAACCCCCAAAAGTCCCTGACTCCACCCAAGCATGTCCGAAAGGCCCCCCAAGACCCCTCCGAAAGCCCAGAACCCCTAAACCCTAAACCCTAAACCCTAAACCCTAAACCCTAAACCCTAAACCCTAAACCCTAAACCCTAAACCCTAAACCCTAAACCCAAAACCCTAAACCCTAAACCCTAAAAACCTAAACCCTAAACCCTAAACCCTAAACCCTAAACCCTAAACCCTAAACCCTAAACCCTAAACCCTAAACCCTAAACCCTAAACCCTAAACTAACCCTAAACCCTAAACCCTAAACCCTAAACCCTAAACCCTAAACCCTAAACCCTAAACCCTAAACCCGAAACCCGAAACCCGAAACCCTAAACCCTAAACCCTAAACCCTAAACCCTAAACCCTAGACCCTAAACCTAAACCCTAAACCCAGCAAAAGAACAATCCTCGAAGACACGCCCCAACAACAGGGCCTGTGGCGATTACGCGTGCGGCGGCGGTTGGAGGAGGCCTTCGGCGCCTGGCGCCGGGCCGGAGAGGCGGCGGCTCCGCTGTTTTTCTTGGGGGGTTTAGCGTTTAGAGTTTGGGGTTTAGGGTTTAGGGTTTAAGGTTTAGGGTTTAGGGTTCAGGGTGGCTTCTTGAGGTTTGGGGTGTAGGGTTTGGAGTTTAGGGTTGAGGGTTTCGTTTCGGATTTCTGTATTTTGTACTTGTTTCGATTTTTTGCGCGGGTTTGAGAGGAACCAAAATGGGCGTTTGCAAGAGAGCTAGCGTGCAGCGGATGTCTTGAATGCAGGCCGGGTTTTTGTCTTGAGTCCCTCCATCTCTGCCTTTCTTACTGTTGTGGAGCTGGCATCGAACCCTAAACCCTAAACCCTACACCCTACAAACCCTTTTCCCTAAGCCCCTAAGTGCCTAAGCCCCTAAGCCCCTGAGCCCCTGAGCCCCTAAGCCCCTGAGCCCCTGAGCCCCTAAGCCCCTGAGCCCCCTGAGCTCCTGAGCCCCTGAGCCCCAAACCTCGAGGTGGTGCAGGCTGCGCTGGCCGATGATGACCACTGGGTAGGCTCCTTGACGATGACAGCCCTCAACCCTAAACCCTAAACCCTAAACCCTAAACCCTAAACCCTAAACCCTAAACCCTAAACCCCAAACTCTAACACATTAAGCCGTCAAGGGTGTATGGGGTTCAGGGTTGAGGGTTTAGTGTGGTTGAGGGTTTTGTGTTTAGGGTGCTTGGGACACAGGGGTTAGAAGGGTTAGAGGGGGGGGGGGGGGGGCCTGATCGGCCGCGGTGCTCGAAGTGAGGCAGCAGGTTCGGACACTTTCCGTCTTGTGCGACTTGCAAATGTCCACAGCCGACAGTATAAACCCCAAACCCTAAACCCCAGACCCTACACCCTGAACCCTAAACCCCAAACCTAAAACCTAAAACCTAAAACCTAAAACCTAAACCCCAAACCCTAAACCCTAGACCCCAAACCCTAAACCCCAAACCCCAAATCCCTAAACACTAAACCCTAAACCCTAAACCCCAAACCCTAAACCCTAAACCCTTAGCCCCTAAAACCCTCCAACAGCAGATCGCCGCGGCGTCTCCCCGACTGTGCGCCTGGCGCCCTGGCACTTGGTCGAGGCTTGGTGCCTTCGGGGCCAGAAGTCCTTTTTTGTGGTGGGTTTAGGGTTTAGGGTTTAGGGTTTAGGGTTCAGGGTTCAGGATTGAATGGATGATGCATCGGAGATGGTTTTTAGGGTTTAGGGATGCAGGTTTAGGGTTTAGGGTTTAGGGTTCAGGGCCTAGGCTCTACGATCATTGGACGAGTCCCTAGACAAGAGCCGAGCAAGCCTCAGACTGCTTTTAGGGGCTTAGGGCTTAGGGTTGAGGATGAGCACCTCTTCAGAAGAAGCCTGCGCTCTAAGGGTTTTTGGTCTCGAAGCGTTTTGGGGTTTAGGGTCGAGGCTCTAGGGTTTGAGGGTGTTGGGGCTTAGGGTTTCTACGGTTTAGGGACCCTAAACCCTCAACCCTAAACCCTGAACCGAAACCCTAAACCCGAAACCCTAAACCCAAAACCCTAAACCCTAAACCCTAAACCCTAAACCCTAAACCCTAAACCCTAAACCCTAAACCCTGAACCCTGAACCCTAAACCCTAAACCCTAAACCCTAAACCCTAAACCCTAAACCCTAAACCCTAAACCCTAAACCCTAAACCCTAAACCCCCTAAACCCCCTAAACCCTAAACCCTAAACCCCCTAACCCTAAACCCCCTAAACCCTAAACCCTAAACCCTAACCCTAACCCTTAAACCCTAACCCTTAACCTACCCCTAAAACCCTAAACCCCCTAAACCCTAAACCCTAAATCCTAAACCCTAAACCCTAAACCCTAAACCCTAAACCCCAAACCCCTAAACCCTAAGCCCTAAACCCTAAACCCTAAACCAATGTACCGGCAAACACAATTCTGGTCTGGAGGCAGAGGAGTTTGGGCCGCTGCCGCTCGGATGTGATTTCGGATCCGAAGCCCTGGGTATCGGGTTTAGGGTTTAGGGTTAGGGTTCAGGGTTCAGGGTTCAGGGTTCAGGGTTCAGGGTTCAGGGTTTAGGGTTTAGGGTTTAGGGTTTAGGGTTTAGGGTTGAGGGTTGAGGGTTTACGGTTTCGGGTCAGGCGGTGCTCTGTATCATGACATAGTGGGCTCTGGCGAGCATGTGGGCGGTGCAGAGCAGTTTTTGTGGCCTCACATGCTAAGGGAGGTTGCATGGTCCCTCAACGTGGGTCCCCTGCCTTCTTTGGAGTATGGTCCCTTGGGTTTTAGAAGATCTATAGGCTAGATACGGTGTCTTGCATATGTAGGGCACGCCCACTGTGAAAGAGCCTTTACCTTTCTCTGAATTCTGACTCCCTGCAAACTGAACTTCAGAGCCACGAGCAACAGCAAAAAGTCCACAAGCTGACTTTGCCAATGGTTGAACTTCAAAGTTTTCGGGCGTCCTCATTTTGTAGCAAAGTAAGGGGTCAGATTTTTTTCTGGTCCCTGGAGAAAGAAGTAAAGTCAAGTGCTTCCGGGGCGTGCCAGGTGTCCAGGCCTTGCGGCTGAGCGGCCGCTTTGGGAGGCCGTTTGCAAAACATAAGGGTTTTGGCTTTAGGGTCGCCTCTTAGGGGTGTGTCCCCCTTATGCCAACAGCCCTATCATCGGGCATATCATGATAGGCCCGCCAAATTGGCCCACGCGCACGAAGCTAACGAGCTCACTTCACACTCTTTCGTCACAACATAGCAGCACTTTGTCACAATCAGCAAAGACCAAGCTTGCAGTTTCCGAGCCATGGACAAGACGAAACCGATGCTGCACGCGTTGCCAGATCTGCTGGAAGGATTCAGCTGCTCAGGTCACTGGAAGACAATCCTGTCAACTAATGCAGTGTTGGCCTTCGTGCTGAGCTGCGCAGCCTACACCGTTGTATTTTCTCTTCTCTGGTTCGTCAGCTACCTTTCTTTTCCGCGGCACCAGCTGCAGATCCGTCAGGACATTTGGTGCTTGACGAGGCTCGTGCCTCTCTTCCTGGCAGCACCATTCGGTATTCTATCTTGTAAAGTTTTCGCTGAGAAGCTGCACTTGAGTTTGAACGTGTCCTTCCCCGAGCACTGGCAGCAGTGGCCACAGTGCCAAGTGCGCTGGGTGGAGCCTCCGCAATCGATGCTCCCAGTCGGTTGTGGGGCAAACTTGAGTCAGGAGGCACAGCGACAACGCCTGCAGTACTACTTGTCCGCTCTTATGCTCCTTCCATCTGTCTTCTTCCTGGCAGGTTTGCTGCTGACGGCACTGGGGCGAGGCATCAGAGCAATCGCACGAGGCTGTGGCAACAGTCACTTTGGTGAGAAAAGCCGTGGGGTGTCTAGAGCGGGATACGCCTACGATCCATTCGTGCCCGACATTCCTGATGCCGAGCCACAACAGGAAGCCGACTGCCGGGTGACATGTTATGCCATTGTGTTCCACTTATGCTGTGCCGGCTTGTCGTTGTGGGCCGTCGCAACAGCACACTTGGACATGCGCTACGGCCTGTGTTGGGAGCTCTGGCTGTTTTGGGCGGTCATCATGTTGAGCATCTCCTTGATGCAAGGTCTTTATTTCGCAGCATTCCTGCCAACCCATGCTAGGGTGCCAGGATTCGGATTGCCAGTTCTGACCCCCATCCTGCCAATACTGGGCGAGCCCTTAGACACATTTAAGGATTGGCTCTTCGTGGGCTTGGCGATATCACAAAGGACGTGGCCTATTTTGTATACCTGCCTGACCTGCAAGGTTTTCATCCTTGTAGCAGCAATGCTGTTAGTACTTTCTGCCCTCAGATTGGAAGAATCAACATCCTTGCTGTGCTCACCGTTCTTCTTCTTCTTCTCCTTCTTCTATGGTTACTGTTACGAAAACTGCCCATGATAACTGCAAATATTCCCTAGCCTTAATTGCGAGCGCACTAAGTAGTTTGGCATGCCGCTGCACGTGCTGTCCAAACTGCAGTCAAAATCCGCAGGACCTGGCTTGGCTTCATGATGGCCGGCTTGGGTGTTGGTGTTCTATGCCTGTCCAACCTTTACATCTGGACATACCATCCCAATGAGCTAGCATCTGGCCTTCTCCCTGTGCGTGCTGCATGCTGTGAGCAGCGGGACAGGACTCTGCTCGCCAAGTTGACATCCAAAGGGAAGCTTGCCGTGGCCATCACGGAGGATCTGCCCCAGGCATGCCTGCAGTCTCTGTTCGTAGTGATTTACGGAGGCTCAGTCACGCAGTACTTCTTCATCGGCTTCGCGCTGGCGAAAGTCTCGGCCTGCTTATTGCTGCGGGCCACAATTATGGAGAGAGAGGAGCGCTTCAGCGACGCCTACGAGGCGTTGGTGATGTACTATCAGTTTCTGTCGGCAGTAGGAAGTGCTGTGTTGGGGAAGCGCAGTGCCTTCGCCTTGAGAAATCAGTGCAAAGTCGCTGCATCACTGTCGGAGCTGGGTCAGCACACCGAAGCCTTGTATTTGCAGAAGGAGGTGCTGGCTGCTCAGCAGCAGGTCTTGGGGCCTAGTGACCCAGAGACACAGTGGACTCAGGGTGACCTCGCAGTGTCGCTCCTGGTGCTTGGCCGGCATGACGAAGCTTTGGAACTGGCAACGGAACTGTTGGCTGCACGGCAAGAGACCCTTGGGCCCACGCACCCCGACACACTCTGGACTCAAGCACAGGTGTCGCTCTCGCTGGCCAAGCTTGGCCGCCATTCCGAAGCTTGGCACGCACAAGCGGAAGTGCTGACCGAGCAGCAGCGTACATTGGGCAGTACTCACCCATGCACGCTGTGGACTCAGGCCGACATGGCTTTGTCGCTGTCGGCCCTTGGCCGGCATTCTGAAGCTTTGCGGCTGAAGGAAGAAGTGCTGTCTGCACGGCTGCAGGCCTTGGGCCCCGTTCACCCCAGCACTTTGTGGACTCAGCTCCAGGTGGCCTCGTCGCTGGCAGATCTTGGCCGCCACGCTGAAGCCTTGGAGGTTCAAAAGGTGGTCTTGGCAGCGCAGCAGCAGACCTTGGGGCCGGCTCACCCCTACACACTGAGGACCCAGAGCAAGCTGGCAGCGTTTCTTCTAAACCTCGGCCAGACCCGAACGTCTCTGCAGATGTTGACGGAAGTGTTGGTTGCGCAGCAGCAGGCCCTTGGGCCCAATCATCCAGATACGTTGTTCACTGCTGGCAAGCTTGACCAGCTTCGCGCTCAATCGGCATTTGTCAGTGGCGCTGTTGGAGGCGAAGGACTTCCGCACCTTCCTGGAAACACGGAGCTGCGCTCGGGAGGACCCGGCGTAGCAGGGGGGGGCGGTTGACGGGCCCTGCTGCGTCTTCCGTCCGCGACCCTTTGTGTCTATATAGCTCGGTGGCGCGCTGGTTGCAAGTGCCTGCCTGGCAATGATCGGGTCTTGTGTTGCTGTGGCCGATTCTCCGGCTATTTGTTTGCAATTTTGTCCTCGCACCGCCCTCAGAAGTAGGCGCGGGGGAGGAATCATCTGAGGGATGTTTACGAACCCGAACTTAGCATAAAAACGATGGTGCGGAGCATCCTAATTTACTTCATAGATGTAGGCAACTTCGCCGCATCTGCATAATGTGCGATCCTGATTAGTGGACCCCCCCCCCCCCCCTCCCAAACATTCATTGAGGACCCTGATTTGTTGGGGGGGGGGGGGGGGGGTGGGGCAGTCCCCCAAACAAATTGGGCTGGATCCTGTAATTAAAAACAAAAGGAACTCGGCTGCTAGATCACAGGCAGAAGGACCAGAGGGTTCAGAACAGGGACCACAGGCAGGGTTGCAGGGCTCAGTAGGTCACAGGCAGAAGGATCAGAGGGTTCAGAACAGGATCCTTGGATTCCTAATGCCTGAAGCCTTGATGCCTTGGGATTTGAATCGGCACACCTTTCAAGCTGAAGGCTTTCGGATTTCTCATGGGTACTATAATCCCTATTAAGGATTGTTAGCAGACAGGAGAGCATCCCAGGGTGCCTCCCTTGAGGGTTGTGTGTTTTTTGGGAGAATGGGCTTTCTGAATGAACGTACTGCGAGCTTACAGGGGCTCAGCGGCTCAGCAAAGCTTACCTACACCCAGAGCCTTTAGAGGGAGGCTCAGTTGCCAGGGCTCTGGATTCTCCAGAGGTGGTCGTGGTCCATAGATGCTCTGTTCCGCTTGTTCTCAAATCTGGCCTCAGATGAAGGCACTATTCCAAAACTTCTAGCCGTGAAGCCCGCATGTCCCAAGACCCTAAACCCTGAACCCGAATAGCCTAAAACCCTAAACCCTTAAACCCTCAAACCCGAAACCCTAGACCCCTAACATCCTAAACCGCGAAACCCTTAAACCCTCTGAAAGTCCTCTGGGCTTTGAGGGCTGTACGGTTGACCAACTCGTCCTTAGTAAGGGAGCACAGGGCCTTTTTCTAGGTGTTCAACAATGCTCGACCCGTAAGCGCCTAAACCCAAGCGTCATAAAACCCTGAAGCCCTAGAACCCCAGAACTCTGACCCGCGAAAGCCCTACACCGGGCTGTTTCGGCTTTAGGGTTTAGAGTTTTGGGTTGAAGGCTTTTCCTCACCCGTACCCTGAGCCCCCTAAACCCTAAACCCTAAACCCCAAACCCTAAACCCGAAACCCTAAACCCCAAACCCTAAACCCTAAACCCTAAACCCTAAACCCTAAACCCCAAACCCCAAACCCCAAACCCTAAACCCTAAACCCTAAACCCTAAACCCTAAACCCTAAACCCCAAACCATTTCTGTTGACTCCCCTAAAACCCTAGACCGGCCTTAAGTGGACGAGCAAGAGGTGCCTTCGTCCGGAAGCAGTGGCCCCTTGGAGGGATGTTAGGGTTTAGGGTTTAGGGTTGAGGGTTTAGCGTACGTTTGGAGTTTGGGTAAACTTCACCTTGGGTTCAGGGGTTTTGGGTGGGGTGATAGGCGAGTTTAGGATTTTGGCTTGTAGGCTGAGGGTGCAGTGTATTCCAGAATTTCGGGGGCCTTCAGGAGCAGGACGGTGTGGGCTGAGCGTTTAGGATGTTGCTTTTTGGGCAGGGAGAGGGTAGAGTTTCTAATGTACTTGGAGGCTCAGTGGTAGGGTTGTAAGGAACATGCAAATGAGATAATGGTTAGCTTTCGCGAGCTATCCGACCTCGAACCCTTGAAATGCCTTGGCATGGGCATGTCTTCACACGATTGCTTTCGGCTGACCAATGCTACACCCGAAACCCCAAACCGCAAACCCTAAACCCCAAACCCTAAACCCTAAACCCTAAACCCTAAACCCCAAACCCTAAACCCTAAACCCTACACCCTGAACCCAACCCCTCATCCCCGAGGTGGCCGAAGCCCACGCCGGCGGAGCTGCAACTCCACGCCGGGGCGGGCCATGAGGGGAGGCCAGGGGTAAAACCCTAAACCCTAAACCCGAAACCCTAAACCCTACTAAACCCTACTAAACCCTACTAAACCCTACTAAACCCTACTAAACCCCTACTAAACCCCACTAAACCCTACTAAACCCTACTAAACCCTACTAAACCCTAAACCCTAAGCCCTAAACCCTAAACCCTAAACCCTAAAGCCGCAAGCCTCACTCCTAAACCGTAAACACTAAAGCCTAAACCAAGCGCTCGGGGTTGCTGGCTCAAGGTTGGTTTGGGCTTCTAAGTTTTGTTTTTTAGGGTTTGGGGTTAGAAAGGTTTTCTTAGGAGAACTACAGTTGCAAGAAGGGCAAAGGGATAGCTAGCCAGAAGCCTTATGTAGAGTACTTGCCGCTGTACTCGCTATTCGAATTTGGGGTTGGGGTTCAAGCGTTCGGGTTAAACCTCACAGGTCGCCATTTGGCGCTCTGCATGGAGGGCTCTTGAACGAACGACAGGTCGAACCCACCCTAAAGCCCAAACCCTAAATGCCTAAACCCTCAACGCCTTAGCCTAAACCCTCAACCCTCAACCCTCAACCCTAAACCCCAAACCCTAAACCCTAAACCCCAAACCCCAAACCCTAAACCCCAAGCCCTAAACCCCAAACCCTAAACCCCAAACCCTAAACCCTAAGCCCCAAAGCCTACCAAAGCCTCCTAAGCCCCTCCGGAGGCGCTGCCACTCCCGGGCCCCGGTCGCCTGTAGGCGAGGGCTTGTGGAAGACCAGGTAGGGTTTAGCGTTTAGGGTTTAGGGTTTAGGGTTTAGGGTTTAGGGTTTCGGGTTTCGGGTTTCGGGTTTCGGGTTTCGGGTTTCGGGTTTAGGGCAGTTTAGGGTTTGGGGGTTTGGGTTTCGTGTTTAGGGTTGAGGGTTTAGGGTTTGGGGTTTTGGGCTTAGGGTTTAGGGTTGAGGGATTAGGGCTTAGGGTTTAGGGCTTAGCTCCTCCAAACCTGCTTCTCCACCCTAGGGTGCACGGTTTCTGGAGGTTCAGGGTTCAAGGTTTTGGTTTGATGATCAAGGGCTCAGGATTTAGGGTTTAGGGCCTAGGGTTTAGGGTTTTTCAAGGTTAGGGGGCTTAGAAGCGTCCACTTGAAGACAGAAGCGTCGCACTAAGACTCACAATCCAAGGCCCCTAACCCCTAAACCCTAAACCCTAAACCCTAAACCTTAAACCCTCAACTCTAAACCCTAAACCCCCAACCCTCAACCCTCAACCCTAAACCCTCAACCCTCAACCCTCAACCCTAAACCCGAAACCCTAAACCCTAAACCCCAAAATTCCATGGTTCAAAGGGGCGTGCCGCTCTCGACGTTCAGGTGAAGTAGGGTATATATTACTTCCCCCAAAAGGACACCAGGTATATACACCCACCACTACGAAAAAGGAACCTTATCTACACTCACCAATATGGAAAAAGGAACCATACATACACTCACCAATCTTGAAAAGCAGCCCTATATACGAACATGAAAAGGAACCTTAGATACAAGCACCAATAGTGAAAAGGAGCCCTATATACACGCACCAATATTGAAAAGGAGCCCTATATACACTCACCAATATTGAAAAGGAGCCCTACACTCACCAATATTGAAAAGGAGCCCTACACTCACCAATATTGAAAAGGAGCCCTACACTCACCAGTATGAAAAGGAGCCCTATATACACGCACCCATATTGAAAAGGAGCCCTACACTCACCAGTATGAAAAAGGAGCCCTATATACACGCACCAATATTGAAAAGGAGCCCTACACTCACTAGTATGAAAACGGAGCCCTATATACACGCACCAATATTCAAAAGGAGCCCTACACTCACCAGTATGAAAAAGGAGCCCTATGTACACGCACCAATATTGAAAAGGAGCCCTACACTCACCAATAACAGTAGTGTAAACCCTGCTTCAGGTCGGCTCTCGGTGTCTCCGTGCTCCCGGGACGTGCGGATCCCCGAGCCTGTCCTCACCGAACGCGCGCGCAGCGCGGGCCGGCAAGGGACAAACAGATGGGCTTAGGGTTTAGGGTTTAGGGTTTAGGGTTTAAGTAGTCCTCGAGTGTAGGCAGCCTTGAGTACTGCAGCCCCTGTATACTCCCCAGCTTTGAGGGTCTACAAGTGGGTCCACCTGAGTATGAGTTTCGAAGACGCACGCAAACCTCCGCGTTTCTCGTACATAGGCACTCGAGGTTTGGGGTAGAGAGTTCTTCGGCAGTTTGAAGTCTCGTGTGATCAAGGAGCTCCTCTCAACCCCGAACCCCTCTAACCTTGCTCTATGCCCTAGGCCCTCAACCCTAGAGCTTGAACCCTAGACCCGATGAAAACCCTACATTTAGGGTGCAGGGTTTAGGGTTCGGCCCATGGTTGCCGCAGCAGTCGCCATGGCGGCTCAACCTCGACACGGCGAGCCAACAGTACACAGGTTTCAAGACTAATCGTCTCCCTGTTTTTGATGTTGCAGCTCTCTGAACTCCGGTACTTTTTTTGGGGATTCTTACTGCCCATAGAAGGAGCCTTGCAATAAAGGTTAACCGCATCATGTTTCGAGAATTGCACATTTCAGTCTAGGCAGGCTAGGATTTAAAAGATGCAGGGTTTAGGGTTTAGTCCCTTTTGAATCGGTAGACTCGCGATTGGAGCTCCGAACAGGAATCCGACGAAACGCAGGAACTCCGCTGTCGCTGTCATTCCCCTAAAGCCTAACGCCCAGGCCCCAGACCTTACACCCTTAACGCGGAAGTCCCAGACGCCCTTCAAACGGAAGCGCCCCACGACTCACACACTGGACCCCAAAAGCCCAACCGCGCCTCGGACCACGCCCTGTGGCCTTTGAGTCATGGTCGGGGCCTCGGGGTGTCGGAGTGTCGGAGGTTCTGGGCTTCAGGGTTTAGTTCAGGGTTTCGGGTTTAGGAATTTAGGGTTTCGGGTTTAGGGTTTAGGGTCTAGGGCTTCGGGTTCTGTGATGCCTTGCGCTGCCAGGACTCAGTTCGTCCAAACCCTAAAGCTTGCATCCTAAACCCTAAACCCCAAACCCTAAACCTTGAACCCTGAACCCTCAACCCCAAACCCTAAACCCCGCACCCTAAGACGCAGGGGGCCCGGGAAATCTCAAGCCCACGATTTGTATTTGCTGTGGGAGATGCGAGGCGCAAGACGCCACATAGCATCCTTGAGTTGTTACTGCTGGTCCTCCGGCAGTTCTCTCTAACTTAGGGTTTAGGGTTTAGGGTTTAGGGTTTAGACGTCCAATTTCTCCCTCCATACTCTGACAGTAGGAACCCACCATGTGGCAGAGAGCTGTCCCCTTCAGAAGACGCCCAAAGATTTGCCAACATACATGGCCACTTCTCTAAGTTCGTGTCCCTTTTGGGGTACCGTTATCAGGAAGTCCCGATTATTTAGGGTACCCCAAAAATGTCCTAAACCCTAAACTTTTCACCTTTACCCGAAACCCTAAACCCTAAACCCTAAACACTAAACCCTAAACCCTAAACCCTAGACCCTAGACCCTAAACCCTAAACCCCAAAAGAAGGGACCATAATGTTGAGAGCTGAAAAACATGATGCCGCCCGAAGCGGCCCTTGGGAGATCGCGCTGCCGTGTCCGAAAACTCGAGGTGCCCTCTTTGGATGTCCTAGTATTCTGGGGTTCAGGGTTTAGGGGTTGGGTTTAGGGTTTAGGGTTTAGGGTTTAGGGTTTAGGGTTTAGGGTTTAGGGTTTAGGGTTTAGGGTTTAGGGTTTAGGGTTTAGGGTTTAGGGTTTAGGGTTCAGGGTTTAGGGTTTAGGGTTTTGGGTTTTGGGGTTGGGGGGTTTAGGGTTTAGGGTGGTGTATATGAGTATTAAACTTTCAACCCTGAGCCTAGCTCCAACATTCGGACCGAACCACAGCACAGTTTGGGAAACCCGTTGTGTCGGCTCCGCCGCACATCGGGGAAACCACCTTAGAACGCCGTGGCCTGTTCACCACGTTGGCTCAAGTAACCCCTAGAGTGTAGGTCACCCATAGGTTGGAAGTAAGCGCAATAGCGTAACTGGAAACCGCCCGGGTGCACGAGACGGAGACTGAAGGCGAACATCAGTGCAGAAAACAAGTGCGAGACCATTTGGCTGGTGAGGAGCCAAAGCGTAGTGCAAGCAACTACCCGACCTCACGCAGGTTATCAGCCGTATAGCGGTTGCGACTTGCGACTACTGTACGGGCTGAGCTATGGCACTGCCAACCTCGTCGTCGAGTGCCGACACAACCATGACCTTCGGTGATGGTGATGCTATTGCTGCACCTGCATTGGGCGAAAGCACAGGCTGCGCCGACACAGATGCGGTTACATCATCAGATGATGCCGTTGAGATGGTTGCGGTTACGAAGGCACCCGCACGAACCAGAAGTGGTTTGAGCGTACTGCGTGAAGATGGAAACTCAAAGATGAGTCAAGTTTCACGCCTCAGATCCACTTCCAGACAATCATCGGAACGAACATCAAAGAGATCCAACACTCCAAGTACTCCACGACGAAGAAGAGGCACTTCTCCACGAATCTCTCCACGATCCTCGCCGGACGCCGGACGACCGGAAACGTCACCGCGAAGAGGGTACGGTGGCCCTCTTTTGGGTACCGGCCTCCCCAGTTCGGAACCTCCGGCTGGCGGTAGGAGCGGGCTTGATTCGGGTCCCCCGGTTGAGTCTGCTAACCCTCTAGCGGAACGAATCCGGGAAGAAGGCGAAAGGCGGAAGATGGAAGAGGTCATTGCCATGTTGCGACTGAAGATCGAGGAGATGCAACAGGAAGACTATGGGGCATCACTCAGGATCGAGCAGCTAGAACGCGAACGTGATCAGAACGCGCAACTGGCAGCTCATATCCATCAACGTCACGAAGCTACACTCGCTGAACGTGAGCAAGTCGTTGGTGCCACGATCGCAACACTGGAGCAACATGCTGCCGACAATCATCATCAAGCGACGGTGACTCAGGAGCAGTTGATGCACCAGCAACGCGAGATGGCGCGGTACATGGTCAACGTGGAAGAAGCGGCCCATGGTGAAGGAAACACGATAGCTCGAGAATACCAGCGACTTACAGAGGAGCTGAACATTCGAGCACATGAAAATCTGAGGAGGCGAGCCGATCTACAACAAGCCGAAATCATTGTGGCCCAGATGGAAGATCAGCTGCGAACCTCCGAGTTTGCACGTGAAGCATCCGAGAAGCAGAAGAGCGAGATGCGAGAATATGCTCATCATGAGAGCGTGGCATTGCAGGATGAACGCGATCAGACCAGGCTCTTGAACGTGAACATTCATAGCGTCATCGTTCAGTACCACGAAGAAGAAGAAAGAGCAGCTGCTTTGAGACAAGCTGTGCACGAGATGGAGCAGCGATTGGAAAGCCAACATGCTTCGTTGCCTAGCATCCATGAGGAGCTGCAAAGGGTACGAGCGGAATGCCAATCTCATGAGGACGTCAATCGACGACTGACATCGGAATTGGATGCTGCGAGACAGGTTCAAACGTACAACCGACCTACGTCAGCCGGAACGTCTGAGTGGGATAATGTTTCTTCAGTGCCTAGGGTAGGTGTGCATAATTCGCGTCCACAAAGCGTTCAATCCCGTTCAGGAATAACCCAAGCTTACAGCAGTCCGGAAGAAGTTGATCGTGATGTGCCAATGTCATCTACGACGGAATCGAGGTTCAAGACATGGGTCCAGAACACCATTCCCGGGGTGGGTTCGGCTTCGCCGGCTCATTCCCAGGGTGGAGATGCCTCAAAGGAGGGTTCGGGTCCCCCGGCTCTTCCCACGAGGCCATCGTTGTTCGGAGGACCACCCATTCCAGTGACAGAAAGCCGACCGACTTCTACAAGGACATCGTTGTTTGGTGGACCTCCCGTTCTCGTTCCAGGAGTACCATCGGTTCCCAACCTGGTTCCGGGAAGGATGTTCACGACAGGTTTGCTGGACTTGCCTCCTGGCTTGGCTACCAGACCACACACCTCACAGTTACTTGCTGATCCACCTACGGCGTCCACGTCCTACCAGTGTGTGCGGCAACCATCGCGTTCGCGGCATACGGGCGAGGTCACGCCTGGAATGGCTTCAGAAATTCCTCCGAATGCTCCCAATCATCCTCAAGATCCTCGCGCAAACGCTTCGACAACTGTTCAGCAAGAAGCTTTACAAAGGCAAATGGATGAACTTCGGGAAGAAATGAGTAGAATGAGAGACACCGAAGCTCGTCTTCGTCGCGAACGAGATCAATGGCGCATAATTGCTGAAGAACAGGAGCAGGAGAATGAGGGTAGTAAATTTCACCGAGGAGGGTTGGCAGTTCTTGGGATGTCCGGATTAGAGGGGATATGGCCAGTAAAATATTTACGCAGCGTTGCTGCCGCTCTGATGTTGGCAAGATGTTTTTTTGAAGGCAGACTGATGTTGCTTTGAATGTTTTTGGCTTGTGGGTCCTGCAGACTTGCGCAGTTGCCTGAGCTGATTACTCGTCGTCCTATCTCATTGCGTGTGTCTGTCCATTATAAACCTTGTTCATCCTGTCTGCGCTGCACCACAGCAAGGGGTGGTAATCCCTACTCCCCTCCTGCGCTTTGTTTTCGTTTAAGCCCTTGTGCCTTAGACCTCGACGGGATTCCCCCGGGTTGGGTTGAAATCAGCGCTGCCAGTCACAGGCACAGGCTGGGGGGGCCGCGGGTTTAGGTTTTTTTGTATTACGCGGAGCGGTCGGCGTGGTGGCGTGAAATGCCCTTTGCGTCAGCAGATTTGTATTTTCGCAGAAAATTCAAAAAAATTTTGCGGCCAAATCCACCAAACCAGTTCAGGGCCACCAAACCAGTCTCCAGCCAAATTTCCAGACCCGCGGCCCCCACCACCGGCCCCCGCCCCCGACTCTCCCCGACTCTCCCCGACTCTCCCCGACTCTCCCCGACTCTCCGGCCCTTGCCTCCTTTCTAATCACCTCTTGACCCCCCCCGCCCCCCGACTCTCCCCGACTCTCCCCGCCTTTGGCTCTCCCCCGACTCTCCCCGACTCTCGCGCGATCCCCCGCCGCCGAAAAATCCCCAAACACGCGTTCCGTGATTGGTTTTCGCGGTTTTCGCGGTTTTCGCGCGCCGCTCCGGAATTTGTGCGTCCCGAGGTTTTTGCTGGCTGACATCCTGTCCCGTCTGCTTTTGCAGACAGAACAGTGGGGCGTACTCTCAAAGTTTCGTGATGTGCCTGGTCTGCCTGGTGCCCAAGTGCTATGTCGTTGTGGCTTGTAGGCTCGGTCTGACACGTGCAGCGGCGTTGCGCTGACCTCATGCTGAGTACGAGCTTGCGTCTTGTAACTTTCCACCAGCGCAGCCAGATAAGTGATGATTATGTTGTGTGGGCCGGATAAATGATGTTCGTGTTGTGTGCCTGTGGGTTGCTGGGTGCCGGGTTTGCAAACCGTTCGTGCGCAAAGAGCAACTTGAGCTTGGCAGCGCCTTTTGAGATAATAACCTACGAACGCTTTTGTTTCGGCAGAAAGAACGACGTGATGCGCTGGTCATGTCCCTGGGTTTTGGGATTACTCTTTAAGCCGAATTTGCCGACCACGGCGAAAATTGCTAAATGAGGGTGAAGAAGAAGAAAACGAGGAGGAAGGCGAACCAGAAGAGGACGGAGACAAAACCGACCCTGGATCCTGGAAGCCAATCAAGAAAGGAGGTGGAGGAGGTGATGGTGGTGGCGACCCAGATTCTTCTCCCCACGGTGGTGGTGGAGGAGGTGGCGGTGGATCTGGACCCGAAGATGGACCTGATTACACCGAAGGGCCAAAGATATCCCGAAGAGAAGCCGACAA